CACTAATCCTACTCCTAAAAAGAGAAAAGACAAGTGGCCGAGAAGTGATCATACCCAAAGATGATTCCTCGCATGGAAGCCATATGTGCAGGCAGAGAATGCTTCAGAATTTGGTTAGAGTATGAGTTTTCCGACCTTCGTAAAGGTCCGTACTCCTTGTATTTATAGAGCAATCAAGGGCGGTTAATTCTGTACATGTACGCTTTTGACTCATAACCGCTATCCACTATATTTGCTACGTGGTCTTGACTCACAACTTCCTTTAACCGTTCTTCCCACGTTCCTTGTTTCCTCGATTGATTTTTTGGTAACTGTTTTGGCTTAACATATATATATATATATATATATTAAATAAATAAATAAATAAATAAAGAACTATGAAAGCTTCATTTTAAAAGTCCTAATTGAATTTTGACTTGTTTAATCTGACCCGTTCGGTAGGGCATGGTCACCCTTGTCATCTACTCAAATTCTTAGGCTTTCTAATTAGTTGAGAAATGCTAGTCGCACTCTCTTCTCTCTTATTCACCGCATGTCTATTTTGATCAATCTCTCTACCTTTCATATAACTAAATTTCATAAAATTTTTGATTATGTCCCGTCAAGATTAATCAAGATAGACATGATAATCGTAGAACATCTAATAAATTCTCTTTTGAAATTTGAACAAACAATCAGTTGAGTCCTCTAGGCCTCTCTCCAGCTCTCCTAAATAGTCCGTAAACAATTAAACGGTATAGTAAAAAACTGTTCGGAAAGGGAGACCTAACGAATAGTGAAGAGTTAAACTCTCTAATGAAAATTAGTTATTAACGGCTAATGGATATTTCATATCAATAATATAATTAAAAAATAATCATTAAATTAACGAAATTACATAAGTAATCCCTAAAGAATAGAATATCCATCAATCTAGTCAACGAGTTGATATATTTTACTAATACTGAAGTAGTAATTTGAAGAAATTTTCAATATTTGAAGGGCTATGCAGCATGATCTCTAATCCTTTAGGACTAGTTATATAGTTATTGTAGTTGAATGACTATTTAGGAAAGTGAGCCATGAACCAAATTGATGGCTTATTCCTTAAAATTTAGTGGCCCCACATTTTATTTAAGAATCCAAATCGTGATTTCAAAGTTTTCAGTAACAAAATTCAACATAACATGGCATAACAAATAAAGATGAGCAGTGAGCAGTAATTGATCTGTGCAGTATATAGTAACTTGTGAAAGACGAGTGAGTAATTGAGGGAACCTGCGATACTGCACAGGCATGTTTCCGGCTTTCCAAATGGCGATCTTCTCGAAGGCCTCGATGGGGAGAACGAAGTGCTTATTGGGAGGGTTGCAGTGTCCGCCGCCGTCGTTGGTGAAGCCGTAGTTGGGGGCGCAGAAGTTGGTGGCGGTGACGATGATGGAGGTGCCGGGGATGCACCACCGCATGTCCTCCACGCAGCGGAGCTCGAAGCAGGCGCCGCAGATCTGGCCCCGCTCGAACAGCGTCTCGCTGAGGCCGACCGTGGCCATCCCGTAGCCGCCCTTGACGAGGTCGCCG